GGTGATGGAAAGGTAAACTGGGATAGTCTGGTGCTACGAGAAGGACTTGCATTAGAGCGTGGGAGGTCGCTCCCGCCCTTCATTTTGAAACAAGCACGATAGAAAGAGCAGCAAAGAAGTCATTTACGAAAGTTTAGCGCATGCTACGAGCCACTGGATGAAATGCGCTCTTTCCAGCAACTATGTACCGCTAGCATCGCCATGTCAAACCCGTGGTAAAAAGACGCTTAGATGCCGGCCACCGGCTGCCAAGGCATCGACGGCTTTGTTGGTGGCCTGTAAGTAATGCTGGGCTGCGTCATACCAGTATCGGATTCTATGTTGCACAATGCGACAAGAAGAAGTGATGCTTTTAGGTCGTAAAGTCTGCCTTTTTCGTCTCCCTGATCTGGAGAGCTTTCCGCCGCTCCTTCTGCCGACCCATCCTGTCTACCCTGCAATTAGAAATCCAGCTTACCCTCATGTCGCCCGCAAGTACCAATCGGGCAGCAGCCCTTCCGCCGCTGTCACCAGCTCCCAAGGGTATTTGGACGAGCAAGCAGATGCCCGTCATGAAGGACCACTTGTTGAGCAAATTGACGTGTGTGTGAGCATTTCCTTCGCTCACCACTCTCTTAACGGTATGCAGTCCATCGTAAAAACTATTTATCGAAAAACTACGATAAGTGGTGCCAACAACAAGGCAATATAGCTAGCCTTCGCAACAGGCTTAAACACGCACGTCCCCACAGGAAATATGATTATTTATCATGACGAGACGAGCTTCAAATATTACCTTTCCCTTAACCAAGGCTAGGCGTGCGTGGTGGTGACATTGCCGTCCTGGTGGTGACGTTGCCATCCTGGTGTGACATTGCCATTGTCCAAGGGCAACAATTTACATGTGTCGTGCGGTGTATCGCCTGGCCCAACACTGGTACTACTACGCAAGCATGATGGCCCCGTGTAAGAGAAGGAGAATGCGAAGGGCGCGGCTGATCGGTTTGTCGCCGCTCTGAACACGGACGAGTACAAGGAGTGATGTGTGGGTAAGGGTCATCATATGTACTGATAATGCATCTACTCACAGTCAGACTGAGATAAGCAGCTTGGCATCGTCAATGGCAAGAAGCTGGTAGTTCCACGCCTGACCACTTATAACCCGATGTACAGTGTCATTGAGGGCTGTTTTAGCGCGTTATAATCACACATGAAGACGTACCTGGCGACGAAGCGTCGTGAGTTTCTTTGTTTGGCGATTACGATAGTTGACTGCGCACATACTGTCTTTGATGAAAGAAGTCGTCGACTCTAGCAAACACATTCTGACCCAGCGTTTTGTGTGGCGTATGGAGTACCACTGTTTCAACGCCACTTTTTGTGCGGAGCGAGGTGAAAACATGGCGTTAGGTAAGTACTTTTATTATAATAAACCACTTTGCTTGGTAAAAAATAACCGGCTGGAAACCATATTGTCTACTATTAAATAGGTATTGCTAAATTTCTTAGATGTAGCTGAATAATTTTTCGCGATTCGTGATTGGCGGAAAACTCCAACCTCTTAGCTTCAACGATACCTTGTGGTAAAATAGGGTATTTATTGGTCGATCCAGGAAGCAGTTTCAAAAAGATACAAAAATTTCCGACCGACCGGCCGAAGAACACCTTCTTGCACGAAATTGGTGTTAAAACAAGCATCCGTAATTTTACGGTCTCACTGCAACAGGCACCGAAATTTACGTGTTTTCTGCAACCGTGTAAAAAGTACCTTTCAAGTAAAAACCGTAAGAACGGCGGAAGGCGTAAAATCTCGCACAAGATACTCCTGTCCATTTGAAACCGTCGCTTTGCTCACAATATTGTAAGCAATAGCGCGCTTTAACTGGGGCACTGTTTTGATGCTAAACTAATTAATTTTGTTGGTGCTGCAGACTTTTTACGGGCCACTGGTTGCAAAAAATTGATCGGTTGCAAAAATACCGTTAATTCCGGTATACTTACGTATAATCTTCCACTGCGATAGAAAATGCTAGCAAGTTTTGCCCCTTTTACAGGGTAAAAAGAAATCTGACCAGCAATTTGCGAGGTCGGTGTAACTCCACCAAATAAGTTGGAACCGCCACAAAAAAAAATGGAGAATGCACACGAATGGTGGACAGCTATCACTCACAAAATAAAAGTGGAGTGTCCACACAGATAGGAAGCAGTAACACTTAGCACAAAGCTAATAAACACTCCATGTCAGTGCTTTTGCTCGAATCATTAGCATAGGTGAAGTGATTCGAGCACTAAGTTGTAGCGATCATGTTGTAGTTGCAGCAACAACGACGCCTCACATTCCCTTCAAACGAGCCATGGCACTAAATTTCGGCTGGAATCCGAGCAGAGACCACACTCAGCGAGGATATGGTAAGAACGGTGGAGTCCACGTGTGCCTCAGGCATTAGCTTTGCAGTGTCATTCTCCAACTTGTGCCCAAGAGCCTTAGCACCACACCCCGTCCAGAGCAGCGGCACACAAGACCGACCACCACCGCAGCTCCAAGGAATGCACAAGTACGTTCATTGATGTTATGAATAGAATGTATCTAGCATGAGTCTGCGCTCATCTACCATGTTTGATGGTGCAGTGCAATGAGCTCGACATGAAGAAGTGCGTGATTGGGTCGCGCTCGTAGTCAAGTACTGGCACTTTGGGAGTCGTCGCCATCATCTCCGTCTGGATCGTACTTGCCAACTACCTCGCTGTCGAGGGTACCAAGGCCATGGACGTGCACAGTATGCACGCATTGGACATCTACGCCCACAGCCTGGATCCTGCAGCTCATTGGTCACGGCGTCTTCGATCGTCGCAAACCGGCACTCTTCGACAGCCTGGACCAGGCTCTGATCACCGCTCCGATGTTCGTGTAGCTCGAGATTTTGTTCCCACTCGGTTACCGTCCGGAACTCTACACGCGCGTGATGAAGCAGGTCTGGATCAAAGCAAGACCTCCCAGGCTACAAAGACGCTGTAGTTGAGGCAACAAGACAGTGACTTTTGTGGCCTCATCAAAAAGAAAAATGTATTGTTTTCGATATATCTATGCGAATTTTCTCGTTAGGAGGTTACGACGATCTCTACCATCTCTGTGAGACTCTTGGCAATACCCTCCGCCCCACTGACGAGACAGTTGAGAAGTAAGAGCTCCTCCATCGACACCTTCTCGTAGCGACGTTCTTCCAGCAGCCATTCCACGTACGCAGTCTTCATCTGCGCCGCGATGTCGCTACTGGAGAATTCCTCCACATTAAGAACGTCGTGCTCGCGACACATGGCAGGAGCCGATGACGCATCCGACGATACTCTCTTGTTCTTCTCAAAGGACGAAGCTTGGGACGAGTTGCGTTAACTCTCACGTGACGGCATCGCGGCTCGAGAATTGTTGACATTCGCTTCCTGCACATCCAAAGGTGGAAGTTTGGACTGAATCTTGTCGCCAGAGTTCACGTCGACGACCTTCGGCTCGTCGTTCTCGCTCGCATCTCCCGCGTCGTCCTCGTTCTCATTGATAGCTGCAAGCACATGCTCCGGTCTGGCTACCAGAGCCGAGGCCTTGGGTTTACGTTGCGTGTACAGCTTCACCTTGAGATTAGGCCGTTCTCCAGCGCCTCGACGAACTCTTCGAACGACACCAAGTCGCTGTTATCCTTGTCCACCACACGCATGAATTCCTCGACGTATTTGTGGATCTCGCCTTGCTTGACCGCGCCAGACTGGGCAAAGATGGCCTCCAGCATGTCTGCCACTTCGTCCGCGTCGATCTCGCCGCTACAGTCCTTGTCTGCCAAGCGGAAGGCCTATTTCATCTGCATGAAGATGGCGGTCTGGTCCGGAGCGACGCATCGCTAAAGAGCATCTTGAACGTCTTGAATGAATCGGTCACTACAGTCTGTACAGTATGGAATTGGCTCTGCCACTTTGCACTTGTGCTCTTGCTGTCAAGTGAAGCCTCAGTGTCTCGAATGTCGACACAATTAAGCTGAACTCGGTCGTGTTCGACGCGGAAATTGAACCACCGCACCAGCTTAAATAGTAGCGTGTTGTTGTTCAGTAGTCGACGTGAACACTCGAGAGCTTTTTCACATTTCAGAGTCGAGAACGCAGGTCTCCACATGAGCGGTTCGGCTTGAGCCTCCGCCATTAAGGACGCATGTTGCACATGTTTAGCAGGGATCTTCCCTGCTCCATCTTAAAGATCACTCTCCATTTTGTTTGTCTCCACGTAATTTTAAATGAGCAGTAAATCTATACCTTGGCAGTGATCGTGCTATTGTGGTGGTCGTATATTTTAAGGTGGTGGTGGTGACCCGTTTTTAGGTGTGTGTGTTCGAGGTCGGTGTAACTCCACCAAATAAGTTGGAACCGCCACCAAAAAAATGGAGAATGCACACGAATGGTGGACAGCTATCACTCACAAAATAAAAGTGGAGTGTCCACACAGATAGGAAGCAGTAACACTTAGCACAAAGCTTATAAACACTCCATGTCAGTGCTTTCGCTCGAATCATTAGCATAGGTGAAGTGATTAGAACACTACGTTGTAGCGATCATGTTGTAGTTGCAGCAACAACGACGCCTCACTTTCCCTTGCAACGAGCTATGGCACTAAATTTCGGCTGGAATCCGAGCAGAGACCACACTCAGCGAGGATGTGGTTGGAACGAAGTAAGAAATGACCATAGTAATATTAAAAGTTAAGGAGATTGTGATACAAATGATAAAAGAGATATCTCACCTACATCATTGCCTCGATTTCTTTCTGCTTTGGAGGTGAGACTCGACAGCTCGTCTTGTAAGCTTCCGTTGACGTTTGGAGCGCCGACAACTCCTGGATACGCCATTCGATTGGCCGTGATGTTCAGCAGATGTATTAGTCTGGACGTGTTCGTCCCCGAGGCTGTAGTCCAGTATCTCCGTCGCAGCAGAACTCACAATGGAAGGCGTTGGACTATGCGTAGAGGTGGCTGGCTCAAATCCTTGTGCGTCATCTTCATTCTGTACAGTATGGTTGACGGCTGTTTGCACACTTAGTGGCTCCGCTCGCACTGATCTCTCTATAATAGAGTCTATTGGATGGTCTGAATCAGAAGATGAATCTTGACTTGTATCGCCCACTCTAATATCTCCGGTCGATCTTGGCGTAGAAGCGCCAGAGACTTGAGACAAAAAGTCAGTATCAGAGTCAGGTGATCCTTCTTGAGTCTGAGCATGGACATGGCTTGGCCTGACAAACTGTCTGAACCGCATGCTTACACCGGAGCACGACACGCCTCCTTGCACACAGGCACTGATTACATGGCAGCACATAGCATGCTTCCTGTTGTAGGCGCACGAGCAAGACTTGCTCCTTGTATCTACGACCCAACCACCTGCAGGCATACCTTCGGTTTGTTTTCGCCTAGAATTGACCGATCTGATTGATCTAGCAACAAGTTTCTTTTCGGAAGCCGCCAGCCGCAATGGGCGCTGCTCAACACGATACAGATCGGCTGCTACAGATCCTACTGGAGGTAGGATATGCACCACGAGGCATTCTCTCTTGCACATAAAGCGATAAAGCCTTACCAGGCGCTCTGAAGCAGTAGGGACTGACGAAAACTCCGGGTCCGAACTCATAAAAGCCAGTCTGGCACCATTCAGGTTTTGTATGAGCTCACTAGGTATGGAAGGTCCATCAGGACATTGAAGCTTGACTTTGCGGTGATACTGCTCCAATGGATTATTGGTAGCCGCATATCCGGGTGGTGTGTGATGAGCCTGCCAGCGCATAAAACGGTGCGATTTGACCCACATTTTAGCAATGTGATCTGTTAATTTGCGTACTGGTGATCCCCGGGGTTAGGCACTTCATTTTGTCAGAATTTGGGTTTTCACAACTGGGTACTCTTGCTCACTAGCATAGTGCATATCATAAAGATCCACAAATACAGATCTTGTGTCACCTTCGCTGACGCGCTTTTCACGAGAATGCTTCCATACATTCTTTGTCACATGAAACCAGCACATTAAGACAACAGTGTGTGGTAGTTCTGTGACACAAGCGTTAAATTGTGCTTTGTCAGCATCCATCATTACAAATTGTGGTGCAAATTGAACACCAGCACAGTCCATGCACACACGCTTCAGGTATCTGATGCACCATCCGATGTCTATCGCACGTTTTTGCGAAGTGCAAAAGTATACCAACGGAAAAAAGTGCCCAGCGCGATCCGAAAATCCAAAAACAAAAACCAAGTAGCCGTTTATAACCATGCTGTGCGTACTGTCAATGTGCAAAATTGTAGTGAAATCGGGATGAGTCTGGACCGCAAGGTAGCTTCGAATTAGACGTAAACAGGTCATCCCTACCCGTAGAGGGTACGCGACCGATCCGTCACCAAGGTGCGAAACAGTCCCCTCTGCACCGGGCCCCGTGTCGCGTTGAGAATCACATAAAATGATCATTGCTGTGTCTGATGTCGTCTCTATATCAATTTGGTCATAGAGGTGACCATCACACAGCTCTATCATCGGCGCCATAGAATCTTTAGGATTCTTGCGTCTCCAGTTCTTAACGAAATCTGATACTTGTGAGCTAGTAGGAGCTGGACCATCGAAATTATTCTGGTCAACCAGTGTACAGATAAGCGAATGTAGACGTGAAGCCGTAGTTTGCTCTCCAGCTCCGAGGCTGTCCGTAATGTAATCTTTCATTTGCAGAGTAAGCTTGCTCTTTACTGGTGTTGGGGGGTCATCGGTGCCCATCGCATGATTGCCTTGTTGAAGCACCTCACACGTGCTAGATGACAGACAGACCTTGAACTTGTAGCGACAGGGGCAGGTGCGGTTCGCGTTCAACGGCGTGTCAGTATCAGTGTCGGCAGCAAGCTGCAGGCGTGACTTGCAGCGCTCAGATTTACACAGAGCAAGTTGTGAGCGCATTTTATGGCCACATCGGTGCAAATCGTAGTCTTGATCAATTAAATGGTTAATCGTACACCCTACTGGGTTGCTTTTGTCGATACTGTGTGGTGGTAGAGCTGACCGATATCTTTCTAGAGCGTCTGGTTCTGTAGAACGCCAAATAGTAGTCCAGGGTCGCCGCGGGCGAGATGCAGAGCCGTCCTCCACGTCGGACTCCGATGAATCTAGCTGTAATGCCCCATCTAAAAGATCATCGTTCTCACTCTCCATTTCTTTGTCTCCACGTAATTCTAAATGAGCGACAGTGCGATGAGCGTGTAAAACTATCTATTTCTGTATCTACAACACTTGGCAGTGATCATGCTATTTTGGTGGTCGTTCATTTTAAGGTGGTGGTGGTGACCGTTTTCTGTGTGTGTGGTCCCGTCCATATTTTGGGTGGATCTACACTTTTTTATTATTGCAGTACACATAATTTAAAGTGGTAATAACCCGGACTCCGTGTGTTCCCGTCCACATTTTGATTTAAAGTGGAAATAACCCGGACTCTTTCTGAGCGAGCGCACCTGCTGCGGCGACCACACACTATACCAGGTACTTGAGCTGCTGCGGTTATCTCCGCTCTATCTACATTATACGTCTACACTTTTACTTATCTTCCACTTATTTACCTATCTACACTCTGCTCGATGAAGTGCTGGGCCAATCGAGACCAACACAAGCGACGCCCGCGGCGGCTGGCCCGATACGGCCCTTACGACACATACGAGCGAACCTATCACCTCGCGAAAAATACCGGCAGAGCTCCGAAATTATCATGGCCAGGAGCCTCAGCGTCTCGATGTTGCGTCAAGAGGCGTTGAAACCAGTGCAGCTTCAAGCGAACAAGGACAAAAGGTAGACGGATGATGCCGCGCTGCCTGGCGGTGCTACGTGCTCTCATTGGACTGCCAGTCGATCCTATCTTTCGGCCTCGACACACACCTCAACGACCTCGACAGCTGCGTTTACATACTTTTTATAGTGATTAAGATGTACTATGAAAAATATTATTCTCGCACAATACCTAGCCAAAGAAAAACTGAATAAAGTTAGGTATTCTAAAAAACAAATCCTAGCAATTACGTCGAGGAGTAAAGTGAGCTATATTTTGTATCGTCCACCAAGTTTCTATCAGTTTATACCCATGCTAAACCTTTATTGCCGAGTGAAACCTGTGAAGTTTGTACGAATTGGTAAAAAAAATAAGACCTTCTCATTTGAAATTTGTATCGAATCGATACCTACTATTGGTGTGTGCACATAATCTTGAATTAATCTGTACTTAAGTACGTCGTAGCACTACCAGGAAAAGTAGAATGTGCTGAAGTTTACTACGTACTAGTTACTTTTCCAATATAGACAGTAGACCACCATGCACTTTGCAATACCCCCTTTTCGATTTTCATACGAGCATTTATTTTAGCTGCCAGAAAACCCTTGAGAAAACTTCTTTTTGTTAAATAGGATAAAATTAACCAAAATACCATTTAACTGGTGTCCAGTTCCAGCATAATTTGCTTCTTTACCATTTTCAAGTCATGGACAATAATTGATACTTGGCTTTAAGCACGAATTATGACTTTTTATTAGAGGCCTTAGAATGTATTAGCCAGAACTACAACTTCCAAAAATTAATGGGGTAGTGGGAGAAATTGGATGGACCTCCTTTACATTTTAACTTGAACTTGTAAGAGAGGGGGATGTCCCGAGTCGGGACTCCCGACATGTGTCCTGGTCCGTAATACTTGTAAGAGAGAAGGATGTCCCGACATGTGTCCTGGCGGTACGGGATGTCCCGAGTCGGGACTCCCGACATGTGTCCTGGTCCGTAATACTTGTAAGAGAGAAGGATGTCCCGACATGTGTCCTGGCGGTACAGATGTCCAATGTGTACGATTGATTACTTTCATTTCGTTTTTTAAATGTAAACTACGGGCCTCTACTAATAAAAGGGATAGTTTTGAAAACTTCGGTACAGTACAGTACTGCACCCCGTTTTCGCAAGAGTAGACCATATAGATTTTTCAAATAAATCCGATTTTAAAAGACAAACAAGTGTTCATTAGAATTCAGGAGCATCACATCCGGAAGTTTATTAAAGGTCCAAGGGCGCGAAAACGGGGTGCAGTACTGTACCACCCCGTTTCGCGGGGGTGAACCATTTAGGATTTGCAGACAAACAAGATTTTAGTAAACAAGAGATACAGTACATGCAGTTCATTTGCCCTCAGGATTATTACATCCGGAAGTTTGGATGCCTTTGAACGGTTTATGATTACGAAGCATCCTTGAGGCTCTTTAGGTAAATTTCTATAAAACAGCAGGCATGCCGGCTGGATAGTCATTCAGTGATGGATCAGTGATGGGATGCTAACCGGAACTGTACGGCAACCGTATGCCCACAAATTGGTGGCTACAGTGGACGATAATAATATCGGTATGGCTTTTTAAATATCGGTTCAGTATTGTATCGTATATTGATTTCCGTTGACTCTAGACCGGCTCGCCATCAGCAGTGTACTTTGCCTCTAAATTTCTAGCTAAAATACCTTTTTTGAGTATTTTATGCTCGATATTTTCAATAATGTTAAAACTGAAATCGGACTTTATGAGCGCTTATTGAGGTACATTGTTCGGGCTGTTATATCGCGTACCGCTAGAAAAAACATTCTACCGGTAGTTGAAGAACAATAGTACACAGCAGGGTGTTGAGTTACGGTAGCAGTAAAACCCGGCCTGCTTACTTGTAGCCAATCTACACCTTGTGGCAAACATTTCCACTCGCTTCACAAACGACAATAGAGGCTTCATATTGTTCACATACAGACACACCTTCCACCTTGTTCAATCGTTTGTGCATTATTACAGACTCCGCCCAGAAACTCAAACTCATCTTCTTCTACCCTCGCAAACGCGGTCATACTATAATACTTTCTTCTTTTTCAGCTAGAACAAACGTGATACATGTGCAAACGATTGGCGAGAATCCATAGCATGCTTACTTGATATCCTTTGGGAACAAAGAAGGTCCACCATTTTTCAGTTTCTGGGCGCCCACACACCTTCTGACATTTCGCAATGCTAATATGTATTAAATCCTTACCGGTATTTGCGTTTCGCATACGGTATACGCACTTAAGAATGTCGAATTGCTTAGAATTTTGCCAAAATTGTTTGTTAAAATAAAAAAATGCTTAGGAGCCGTCTCTTCAGTGAGGCGCAAGGGACATTTTGGGGTAATATATTATAGCCACGTATAGTTTTACCTTAGGTGACACCGCCTATTAATAGTGTGTACGCAAATGCCGCCCAGGAGAAGCTTTCCGACACCCTATAAGAAGCAAAGCACATGCCTAAACCTATATTGGAATGTAGATCAACATACAGTGATCCTCAATGGATCGAGCTCACTTGATACAATACGGTTCTGTACTGTTTACGGTCCGTAGTGGGATCAGTACTATCCAGACGGTGCTGAACAGTGCTTTGCCAGTTCAGATTTTGCTTCTCATTAGAAATAACGATTTATCTTCGTCTACGAGCGCACCCATGCATCTAAGCCCCATTCTACTGGTGACACTGATCACTATTCTTGCCTGGAACAGTGTTCTTGTGGCGGCGACTGAGAAGACTATCGCTTCACTTGTAGACCACGTTACAGGCACAGGCTACGATGGCGTCAACCAGGGGAGATTTCGTAGGACGGCCAGCGCAAACAACAACGTCGCTGGTGCAGCAGATTCGCTTGCTTTGGACGAAAGGGCTAATCCGATAACTTCCTTTCTGAAGGAGATTCCCAATAAGATCCCTTTGTCTTGGAAGACTACCTGGTGGCTTGATCGATACAAGTCGGTAGACTTCGTCGAGGAAAAGCTGGGTATGAAGGGTTTGACAAACGCTGAAAAATTGGTCCACAAGAACTACAATCGTTTGGAAAGATATTCCAAAAAGCTCAAGGAGAACATTATATGGAGGGCTATCCGCAGGGACGTCAGCACATACAGAGTGTGGGACGATTTGGGCCTCAATCAGAAGACAACGCTACATCCAACGACAACAACGTGGAGTAAGGTACCAGACGAAGAAATTCTTGCTCAGCTGGCAAAAATCCAGAAAACCGAGGCATTTAAGGAGTACAAACAGTATGCTGTTGCATACGACGCCTACAAAGTCAGCCTGTTTGGCTCGGGCTACTACCGCCCTACTGTGTTTTTCGACAAGAACGCCACACCGCTGGAAAAGATGGCAAGAATTCAAATTTGGGTGGAAACAAAAAGACCCACAGTGTATGTGAAGGAGTTTTTGGGTTTGCAGCATGCGAAGGCGGACAAGCTCCGAAACGACCGATTTTACCAATTCTACTCGAGGGAACTGACGAAGGCGGGCGTCAGTGGTTATTAATATGCCGTATTTTCTCCGAGAATGGCACTCAGTCTGTCTTTCATTTTATGATAGTGAAAAGAATGGTCTGGGGAGTAGAGCAGAGTTCTGTGAGGCTCCTCGTCATCCAGATACAAGCAGTAGCGTTGGAACTTCTTTAAAACGATGGTAACTGACGATGATGTGGGCCTGCGTTTATGAGAGCGACGTAGGCTCTTGGCAATAGCGATTGCTCCAGGCAAATATTAAGGGTGTATTGTACCAATTCAAGCAGCCTAGTCTATCGGTTTCACTCCGACATTAAGATTCGCGGACTCGCAGTTTACGAAGTTTATACTCCCTCTGTTTCAGATTACTTGACCAGCTCGTGTTTCAAACTACTTGAATTTTTGATTTGTATATATGAAGCCTCAGTATCCTGATGCTCCAGTCAAGGTTTCCTGCGATGTTTTAATATCTAACGCAGATTGTGGTCACTGTGGTCAACCACCCGATAAGTGATCTCCAGCTATTACATCCTTTTTTAAACAGCTACTTAAATGAAACAGCCACTAGAGGGCTTTATAAAGCAGAAGATGTGTGCCTCAATATAAGTACACCAACGATAATGCTAATACGCAAGGAGAATAACCTTCTCCTTGCGTATTATTATTACTCATTTTTAGCTTCGACACGAAGAACACCAATTTGTATGAATCTTAGTAAAGCTCAGAACCGACCCTACAAACAAAACTTCATACAGTATTAATACCCCCCCCCTAACTGAACTTTAAAAAGCAAGTTATCCTGCCGTACAATACACGATAACATTCCGTCCACCGAGTCTGTTCTACTTGGAGTAAACTCGTTATTGCCCAAATGACAAACTTGATACTACAGTACTAGTTTTGTATGCAAGTGTACAGATGCTCTAGTTGTACGACCACAAAATAGTGGTGATGATAATATAAAATAATAACTTAAGTAGTGATTGGAGTAGCCAGGAGCCATGAATCGTTCACGTGTGTTCTCGATGTAATCGACAGCGACAACCTGGAGCAAAATAGAAATGTGAAAGGTAATTGATACTAAAGTCTAATGGATCCCACAAACGATGGTCCAGCAATGAGTTTGCAGTCAATTATCGAGTATTTCATCTTCCGAAGCAGGTACCCGTAGCAAGGATTGAAAGAAATACGTCTAAAGTCAACGGTTTGGTATCCGGGAGCGATCAGTATTTCACGAAAATATCGGTGTCCATAGCGAAGCAAGGATATTGTGTTCTCCACAATTGTTTATTACCGGTATACCGCCGACGTACCGGTATACTGTACACGCTTTCCCTGCTTGTTGCTGGCCACACGTGGCGTGCTCCCTCACTTCGTATTTGGAAGAACAAGCAGCAAGCAGCCAAGAAATAAAGGGGATTTCAGCTCAACATCGCAATGACAACTTAAGAAGCTTTCGCAGCACTCAGCGCCCCCAGCTCGCCGGCGTCCAGGGCAGGTACTGCCCCCTCGGACAGCGTAGCTCCGGCGAGTAGAGCCGACGTCGTGGATGTCACTGGCGGCGTGGAGCCATGGACCGCCGCCTTAGTGCGTAGTACGGAGGAGTCCCCACCTCTGCGTACGAGCAAGCACGCGGCATCACGCGGAGCGATCGCTGGCGCACCAACCGAAGCCCGGAAGGGAAAAAAAAGGCTTCGAAGCGCGTGGCCTCCACGAACGCGTCTGGGACAGGGCGCAAGATAGCCGACGAAGGTGAGGATAATACACAAGATTCTGCTAAAGTTCTGGCTACGAACATCTTTAGCGAACTGTGCTCGGACACGCCCTTCCTGACCGAAGAGAGTCTCTGGGTGGAGGTAAGGGTGGGAGCGAAGCGATGGGGGAGGGATTTTGCCGCGCGAGTGAGAAATTTCTCCGGAAGGCCTCCGTTTCGCTAATGAAATCCTCTCCTCACCTGCTGATGTACCGGGCTCCTCGCCTTCCAGGTTCACCCTAACCTGCGGTGGATCGAGACAAGTGACGTCTTCGGCTATACAGCCTCCTTTGACTATACAGTCCGGGTCGATCATACAGTCATCCACGGGTATACGGCTTGCTTTGACTATACAATGCATGTCGTCGATACAGCCATACAAGTATACACGGCCTCCGGGGAGCAGCCCATCCAGGTCAGTCGATCTGAACACTAGCGAGTTTATTCGACGAAACTACCGATGCGACAATACGAAGTCTACCAAGGCCAAAATCCCGATGAATCCCGATGTATCTGCAAGAATGCCTTCGACGTCGGGTACAAGTCAAGCAAATCCAGCCAAGGTACACTCGACTAACAGAGATGGCACAGGAAACATACTTAGGATCGGAAGAACCCCACGTCGCGTCTACCTATTGCCGGGATGATCGAGGAGGCGAACGCACTGGTGATCGAGCTGTCCGCGCTTTTCGGATGGACAGGCTCTCCCGGATTCTACGAGATCTTCGGTGGAGCGATTTCCCACGTTCATGGCTGTCATACGAACGCAACTTCCCCGGACGGTTTCTTCAACTACTACTGGGTGAATGACCACATCAACGAAGCCTCGGACGTAGAAATGATGTGCTCCGACATGGACCGCTCCCTCCGCTACGCCATGGTGGCCATTCTTGGCGCTGACGCCATCAGCACTGAAAAGTTCACTGAGTGAAAGACACGCCAGCGCGTTCTCGGATTGGAGTTCGACTTCATCGATGAAGTGGTCGCACTACCCGTTTCCAAGATCCAAAAGGCACGCAAGATTGCCGCATCTGCTTACTGCGCCTCGACGCTGACCCGAAAAGGGTATCGGTCGTTAATGGTCAGCTTACGGCATGTAGCGACCTGCATTCGGGCCGCACGACCGTGCCTACAGCGTCTCCGCCACCGCGAGGTCCAGCTCTGTCAATTTCAGTGCATCGCCGTAACAGACGCAGTGCGAGAAGACTTGCTCTGGTGGTGTCTTATCCTGCACAACCCTCAGCTGAACGGCGTATCTCTGGAATAATTCAACGACCGCCCACCTCCAGATGTTGTGGCTGAAACGGACGCGTCGGATTTCGGGTTGTGTGCTTGAAGTACACGCAAAGACTGCACTGATCTACGCATTTACTCCATCCGAGCAAAAGCTGATAGCGGAATTCAAAAACTGAGCGGCCTATGGATTCGGCATCAGCTTTCGCGAGCTCCTTTCTTGTGCCTTCGCAGTGCACGCATGGGAAGAGCGATGGTCCACGGACTGTCCTATCGACAGCAGGCCGCAGCATGTGCATTTCCGTATCGACAATACATTTGCTGTCGCATGGCAAAACAAGCTGGCCTCGCGCAACCCCAAAGCTCAAGTCATTATCCACCTGCTAAGCTGGTGGAAAATATCATACCGGCTTCGGTTTTCTGCGTCACACATCGCCGGAATAGAAAATACTCGCGCTGACGGCGGCTTCCGTATTCCCGCTAACCCATCGTTTGCCGCTCTGTTTGCTTCGCTAACACCCGGGTGGTCACAGGTGGCCTCGTCGGCGGACATCCAAGGCCTGACCAGTACCTGGCAATATATCTCCGCGCGCACTCCGTTGCCGACTCCACGTTTGACCAGTACAGCATAGCCTTGAACAGGTGGAGAAGGTGGGCTTCGCGTCGAGGAATTTCGTCTTGGCTTCATGACATGACCATAACTGACAAGGTGCAGCATATTTTGGACTTCGTTTTACATGGATTTCAGTTTGGCTTCGGGTCCGGTGGCCCCATCCAGAGCGACTCCATCATGGCGGTGCTTCATGGTGTTCGCCATTTCCTCGCAGCCTCAGGATACGTGTTTCCGCTTGAACACCCGCACGTCCGCATGCTTCTCAAGGGAATAAGCCGTCGCGACCCACCGCGACGTCGCAAGGCACCCGTGTCAGTCGATCTACTTTCGCGGCTTGGCCATGGATCATCCCCGTGGCAAGCCCTATGGGGGGGCGGGGGGGGGGTAGTGTACTTGGCGTTCTTCTTTCTTCTGAGACGATCAGATATCGTGGCCATCCAGGGAGGATCCTTCAAGTGGCTCGTGCTCCGAGCTCAAGACATCGTGGTTGTGGATACCGCTGGACAGCTGACTCAGCGCCCATCACAGGCTAAGGCCGTTTAGATTCGCCTGACCGGGTCCAAGACAAATCAAGGTGGGGCATCAACGACAAGAGTGTTATCCGCTCTCGCCATCAATTGTTGTGCCCTGTGTTCGGAACGCTCATTCTCCTTCAAGCAAGGATGCGCCTCCCCACAAAAATTCCAGTCGCTGTGTACATCTCGCGCGGAGGGCTGACCAGCCTGTGTATCAAGCGAAGACGTACCCGGAGCCATCAAAAGCGCTGCCCCTCGCACCGGCCAAGACCCCCGCCGGTTCAGCTCTCATCCCTGCGTGCCGGTGGAGCTACACACATGTACCGATCCGGCACGGATGCACTCACAATCCAGTTCCACGGTCGCCGGGTTTCCGACGCGTACAAGACATACACCAGGCTCTGCATGAAGTCCGTCACCACGCTCTCGGCAAACATGGTGGCAGGTCCATCGGGGGATTCGACATTACATTAGTGGAGCCGATTGCATGACCATTAAAGGAGGCACCGCTCTCCTCGTCCCTTTTCGGATAGAGCTGATGGTCATTGCATAAGCTCTCATTAATGTATTTGTTCGTGTGACCCCTAAAGACTGTGGAAAGAGAGAGTTGGGCTGGTGAGTGTGGTCTTTTGTTTTACGACAACACTTGCCAATTAAAATAGCAATATTTAAAAAGCTGGATATTATTGTGATTAAAGAGGCCACATTAGTATACGATTTCTTTAGTTTCTGAAGTAAATGTTTACTGTAACTTTGGGCCACGCTGCACGAGCACTGTGCATTTTCCCGTAGCTCCGCCTATATGTAACGCTGCATGTACATTTCTCAAGAAATCACTCGGGGTTGTTAATATATGGCAACCGTGACTAAAATGTAAGCTGGTGCGGGTGATCCTTGCTCAGCTATGAAACCAAGATACA